GAAGTAACATCACATTAAATGAAATTTGTTTCCTACTGTTTGGTTTTGGTATTCAGTTTAATCAGTTTAAAAGTGAAATAACTTATTGACTAGATGCCATTTTTAAGCTCCAGTATGGGGCGTGCTGGGCGCCAGGTGTGGGGTGCGCGGGTATCTCGGGTCCCCCACACAAACCTAGAGAGTCGTGGTGCGGGTCCCGCGGGCTTCTCCGTCATGCCGCGTCCCGCGTTGCTGTCCGACGCTGAGGTGCCGTAGGTCTCATAGCACCGTGGCTCCACGTCTCTGTTGTGGCTGCGGGTCTCTGCTTCTCTGCAGCTTCCCTGCATCTTTCATGCCTCTCTGCTGCTGGGGCTTTGCCCAGCCGAGTCCCGCCCTAATTTCACCCGTGCACTTTCCTCAAGATGCGAAATCCACCAGCTGCTGGATCACATGGGAGAGTGTGAGGGCAGCTAAAGCTGGGATCCGTGAGTCAGTGATGGAAAGACAGCTCTTCCTGGGAAGGCTAGATCGTAGGCAGTGAGACAAGACTCAGCTCAGTCAGACTCAGTGTTACAGCTCTTTATTCAATAGCTCTGAGTGGCTCCAAGTCTCAGTGTCCTAGCTCCTAGCTCCTCTTCTAGCTCCAAATTATTGAGAGAAGACTAGGATATTTTTATACTGTAGGGGCAGTGGTAAAAGCTTTAGCTGATAGGCACTTTGCGAGATACCCTATTTACATATGGAAGTAGGTTCCTGCCATGCTGCCAGACAACCTAAAAAATCACACAGGAAAGCATGGCATTTCCAGAGCCAGAGGCCATGTTTATGTGGCTGCTACTTCACAAAGGAGTCAGGAAAAATGCCGGGAAGGCACTCTGCTGTAAAAGGAGTCTCTGCATATGGCTCTGAGCTCGTGAGCTATCCGGACATGGAGAAACTTCTACTTTACACAACAGAGGTCCCCAACATCTCCTCCTCTTTGATTTAAATATGAAGAAGAGCCATTACCAGCCCTAAGGGCTGGCTCATCTCATCTCAGGAGAATCCAAAGTCTGATAACTGACTATGACCTGTCCTGTAGTGATTTTCAGCAATAACAGTAACTGTCAGCAAAGAAATCTTAAAAAACAGTGAGCAAGCATAATACACCATATTATCAGAGGGCAACAAGGGATAGGAGCCATGCAAACAAGGGATTGCTAAGCCAAATAGATTACAAATTTTTTGAGAGTGTTAACACTGGTTTCAACAACATTTGATTCATTCACAAGGGAACAGCATCTTTTCCCAATATTATATACCCTTCCCATGTCCAGTAGTTATTAAGTCCAATGTTCTTTTGTTGTGAAGCATAATTTCTGGCAAGAGAGTTCATTTTTTGTTGGAGAAACTCCAGGCTGTCAGTCACTGATGTCACAGCTTAGTTCAGCTTGTCTCAGCCAAGGCAGGATCAGGTGCAGCTTGTAGTAACTGTTGTCACAGCAACATCTCCAGCATCCAGTGTAAGCTCGATTTCTGTCAGCAGGGGGAAGAAGATTTTTCTCTGCTGGCAGCTCCTGTAAACATTAAGTTAGTGAAGTCTTTTCTGTCCCTGGGTATAGAAGGGTGGTAACTGGTACTGTTGTCGGTAGAAATCTATTGCTGGATGCGCAAGAGAAGGCAATTAGACATTGGGGTAGGTGGGAAGAAAGTTAAACTTGTTCCAGGACATAGTCGGTCTTATTTGATCCTCTGTCTTTCTTGTAGAATAACATTATAAGTTAACACATACTTGGCTGCTGGTGTAAGCTGTTGAGAGACATGAAAGTTAGCTGTGGGGTACCTAGAAAATGCACCTGAGTAAAATTTTGTTATTACTCCATGTCAGCGTTTGTCCCATGGATCTGATTTTTTCCTTGAAAAATAAAATCTCTATAACATGGTATTAGGGAGAGTGGGGGCTGGCTGAAGCGTTGGTGTTAAGCAGGGTAAAGACAGCCATGAGGATGACAGAGAAGGAAGCTCCAGGAGGACATCTGTGGCGTGCAGTTTCCACTAGGTCATGGATCTCTCTCCACATGATCTGGTGTGGCTTTGGGTGTCGTCTCTGCCTCTTTCTTTTCTTTGTCTCTGTCAGGGTCATGCAAGCCATTTTCTTCATGGGCAGCGAGGTATCGGACATTTCTAGCTGAAAGCCAGATAGGCTTTGGTTGGTCCTGTGGAAAAACACAAGCAAATCCTCTCCCTGTGGTCAACAAAGGATATGGCCCTTTCCAGAGTCCATCAAAGGGGTCACTGCATTTAACCATGATGGGTGGTACTGGGTGTGTTTGAGCCCAGTGTCGGGTGATGAGAGGAGCATCTGTCCCTCTATATACATTAAGTACATTAAGGGTAAACAAGGCTAATGTTAATTGAATATTGGGAGAATATGTTGTTTTAGCCTGTCTTTTTAATTGGTCCTTTAAGGTTTTGTGGGACCTTTCCACAATGGCTTGTCCCTGTGGATTATAAGGGATGCCAGTGTGATGGGTGATTTTCCACGCTTCACAAAAATTTTTAAATGATGAGCTGGTAAATACTGGGCCATTGTATGTCTTTAGTTGTGCACGGAGGCCCATAATGGCAAAGGATGAAAGAATATGATTTATCAGCTTTTCTGAACTTTCACCAGTCTGAGCAGTAGCCCAGAGGAAGTGAGAGTAGGTGTTTATAGTTACAAATACATATTTCTGTCTGCCGAATTGGGGGACATGAGTTACATCAATTTGCCAGAGGGCATTAGATTTTAGTCCTCTAGGATTGGTGCCCATTTGCTGCATAGCAGGGGTATGTATTATTGATGCACAAGAAGAGCAGGTTCTAACAATGCACTTAAGTTGCTTGAGGGGAATGTGGGGAAACCTGAGATGAAGCCCTTGTAAATTAATATGAGTGGCATGGTGGAGGT